ACCTACTTACTAAGTCTCTATGACCCTTCAAGTAAGCATTCATTCCAAATACGTATTCGAGCAGAGATCCGGATCTGCATCCTCGCGGTCTCACATGCTTCACATGGCAGTTTCCCACAAACAAAGGGAGTCCAACATGTATCATGACATGCTATAAGCATTATTTTGGGGCCTCCCAAAATGGTATCCCTAATTTTTGGAGACCCTAATCCTTCTAAAGCCCTATAAACCACAATTACCGTTTCATTTGTCTATTCCATCTGTGCTCCATCATGGTGGGGTAATCACCACTTAGTCACATCTACTTTACCTCCAGTTCCTGCATGGTCTTCACCTTGCTGTTCCCGCAAAACACTACTGTACCTCCTAACAACTAACCCTACATCCTAAACCCTGAAAACCCTAAGCCCTAGCCCCTAAACTTAGGCTCTAAACTCTAAACCCTGAACCTGAAGCCCTAAATTCCAAGCCCTAAACCCCCAAAGCCCTAAACCTTAAACCTTACCTGTGGGGAGTCACTTCGTCGGTCCTCTGGCGGAGGCTTCAGGGGCACCACCGTCTCTACCGCTTCTGCCTTCCTGGGTTGCTGTTAAGGAACTTAAATTAAGTTACTATATTGGGGAAACCCTCGTATTTACTATATATACCCATTATGGTAACTTAATTCCCTAAACCCTAAACCCATTATACCCATTATGGTAACTTAATTCCCTAAACCCTAAACCCTATACCCATTATGGTAACTTAATTTAAGTTCCTTAACAGCAACCCAGTTTCGGAACTCGCGACTGAGAAGCGCGTGCCGGTGTGGGGCCTGGCCCCGGAAATGAAGTTTGAAGGATCTAGGGGTTGAGGGTTTTAGGGTTTAGAGTTTAGGGTTTAGGGTTCAGGGTTTAGGGTTTAGGATTTAGGGGTCTCCCCAAATTAGGTGTGAGGTCAAAGGGGATACATATATATATATATGTATGTATATATATATACATATGGTTTAAGGTTTAGGGTTTCCCAAAATTGCGGGTACCATTCTGGGGTCCCAATAATCAGGATTAAAATATTTGGGGGTCTATATTGGGGCTTCCCATTTTGGGAAACTGCCATGTAGGGCTTAAGGGTTGGGATTTCGGGTTTGGGATTCAGGGTTTGAGGTCTAGTTTAGGGCTTGGGGTGCGCGGTCTAGGATCTAGGGTTTTTGAAAAGGGATAGCTCTCCCCCCAACTCACATGTAACCTCCTTTGAGGGACATGATAGATAGGATACAACGGGTTGTGCATACGCGGGTGTTGCGGGATGTGTCGAGTTGAGAGTGCAAACACCACAAACTAACATGGGAACCTACACAGGCCCCGGTTACAGGGACAGTGGTCTTTCTAGGGCCCTGGTTTCATGCCATGTTAGTTCTTGGGAAGGGTAAGTTCATTTCACACACGGGATGTTGGAGTGCAGGGTATGTAGGGTTATGAGTCCAGCAGGAATTAGGCGGTCGGGGGGCGGTCGGGGGCGGGGGGGGTTCTATTACGGCTAGAACTTGTGAGCAGAAACCCCCAACCTAAGAGGGCCCAAAGAATACAAGTATCATGCACTCTCACACAAAATTACGACCAGTACTACTACAAGCATCCCCAGGCATATGGTTACCGTATGCTGGACCTTGAAGGAAAGAACGATAACATTGGCTATTTCCCTACAGACCCCTCTAGCATTCTCCATCTTCTTTTCCTGCTGATGCTCCACTCTTAGCGTTGCATGCTGGACCCTAACCCTAGACCCTAAACCCTGAAAACCTTAAACCCTTAAAACCCTAAACCTTTAAAACCCTAAACCTTTAAAACCCTAAACCTTTAAAACCCTAAACCTTTGAAACCCTACCCTAAACCCTAAACCATTACTATTCCATCCTGGACCTTTGCGGCCAGCATCCCACCTCTAAGTAATCTGGGCTGCTGTTAAGGAACTTAAATTAAGCCACCATACTTGGGGTATATGTGTTTATCTATATATGATAACGGGGTCTCCTTATTATAGTATCTTAAAATAAACCCAAGGCAGGGGAGCCTGTTGGAGGTCCTAGCGCACGCTGCAAGAGCGCGGAGACGTCCTGCGGCGGTTGAGCAGGTGGATTCTGTTCTTGGGGGGTCAGGGGGACTTAGTAAGTAGGTTAGTAACGGGGATGAACGGGGTTATTCTATGGGTTATAGGGGTTATTAACCTACTTACTAAGTCCCCCTGACCCTCCAAGTTGGTCTGGTGTTTAGGGCTCGGAGTTTAGGGTCAAGGCTTAGGTTTTACCGTCCAAAGTGTTGGGTTTAGGGTGGGGTGTCATGACTAGAGGCCTTCGGGGTACTAGAATGTAAGGTGCCGTACTTGAAGGTTCCCACAGAAGGCCATAATTTGGGCAAGGATGCACCCTAAACCCTAAATCCTAAACCCTAAAACCCTAAACCTGCATTCTGTAAGATATTTGAGGCCAAGAAAGCAGAAAGGGCGGCTTCCAATTTCAGAGGTCTCCTGACTTGGGCTTCTTATCATGGAGATTGTATTGTTTAGGGTTTAGGGTTTAGGGTATTGTATGCTGAGTTTACGCGGAGACCCCCTTCATGTATGGAACCTACCACATATGTGCCCCTACATATGGCATCCATGGCTTCGATGCTCCACCTCGAAAGGTGCCACAAGCACGATTTCAGGCTTCACCAACAATCGACACTCCAGTGACTAGAGCTCTAAGGTTTGGGGTTAGGTTTAGAGAGGCCTATACCAGAATTACTAAGACATGCAGGACCACGATATTGGTAACTGTTTGGTAGTCTCCATAAATGGGGAACCGCCCCAAAATGGTACCTTGGGAAACCCCCATTTAGGCCCCGCAACACTTTCTAGACAAGTGTCTCTCCTACTTCGTTCAAGGAAGCCTTCCAGAGCAAGGACCTCAAGACTTGCCTTCAAACCATGCTAAACCCTCTTGGTTGGCCTCTGGGACCCTTTGAAGAATATTAGTATATATATATAGGGTCCTTATGAAACCAATTCGGGAAAATGTTTAAGTATCCCAAGAGCCAACCCAGCCAGAGAGACAAACCCTACACTCAAGAATTGGAGAGAGAGACTCATGAGAACCGTACACTCCTAGCCCTAGACCCTGAACCTTAAACCCTCACCCCTAAACCCTAAACCTGTCCCGTCTGAAGCTGGCTCTAATTACAATGCTTTCGTTTTGGATGTATGCTCCCAACACGCCCTGCACTTTCGACCTGTACAAGAGTGACATCTTCTTCTGATGATCCCCAACACCGACCTGCTTGAGAACTCCAAGACTCTGGGTCCTCCCCAAGTCCCGAAACCCTATACCCTAAACCCTAAACCCTAAACCCTAAACTATTCCTCTACAGAAGGGTTTGGGGTCTAGGGCTTGGTATTCAGAAGCATATCTCAATCTATTGAAACGTGTTTGAACATGTAGGCCCCTGTAGAGCCCTGAAGAGAAGCCCGTCATCAACCGAGATCACCTCATCTCCACCCGGCAGCTTCCGAAGAACCTGTGAGACAGTGACAAAAATACTATTGGGTTTAGGGTTTAGGGTTTCGGGTTTATAATATTGGGGTTATATCATATCGGGATAATGGAAAAGAAAATGAAAACCACAGGGATTATAGGGGTTATATAGGGGTTATATAGGGGTTATATAGGGGTTATATAGGGATTATATAGGGATTATATAGGGTATATTTTGGGGTTCTATAGGGGTAATGGACAAGAAAATGGAAACTACTAATTAGGGTTTGGGGTTATACTTAGGGATAACGGAAAAGAAGCTGAAAACTACTATTTAGGGTTTAGGGTACTGCTAACCCTAAACCCTAAACCCTAAGCCCCCGGACCCTGATGTCGGGGATTCAGGGTCTAGGTGAAGGTAGGTTTCGGGCCAAGGGCTTACCTGGGCTACATTTAGGATTTGGTTGTTTCCCAAAATAGGGGGACCCCAATATAGGCCCCAAAATACTATAATCCTTATTATTGGGACCCCCAAAGAGGTACCCCTAATTTGGGGAAACCCCCATTTAGGGCTTAGGGTTTAAGGCGGGATGTAGAATACTGTACTTTTGACTCTTTTTTATGGGCTTTGCGCCAATATGTTACCAACTCTTGGTGCCTGAGCATTGGCGTGTAGGGCTTCAGGAGTCTGGGAGCTAAGGGACTTAGAATTAGAAGCCGAGCTTTCATGGACAGCTACCCTAAACCCTAAACCCTCCCCAGGCCTGAGGGGTCAGCACTTGGAGGTTGATACACAGTTTGCAGTTGAGGAGGGGTTTAGGGTTTAGGGTTTCGGGGTCAAGGGTTTATGGCTTCGGGGTTAACAGTTTAGGGTTTGGGGCTCAGGGCTTAACATTTGTCAAAAACAGACCTACAGTAGGACGCACAGTGGATCATTTCCGGCTAGAGTACTTGCTATTTTAGAGTTATGTCTTGACCCTGCCCTGTGTCAGGGACGACCCCTCCAAACAAAAACATCCATCCTAGCGTCTGTCAGGGTACCTTACCTCTGTTTTGCGGAAGCCCCCCTTTAAACGCCACAGCCGCGTGCTACACGCTGACTCTCTGTAACCCAAATCAGTAAGCCCACGCCCTAGGACTGAAGGTTCAAGACCTGTACACAGCCCCTCTGGCTCCACTGACCGACCTACTCGCGTGGCAATTTACAAAAGGTGTCTCCTCCTAAAACCCTGAAGATTGGGTACTGCCCCCCCTCCCCCCAGTAACAGTCTTTATTAGGGGTCCTATTAAGGGCTATACATAACCATATTATAGTTATTATCCAACTGTTACTGAGGGGGGGCAGTACCCAACCTCAAGATATGGAAGTTCCTCCTTGGAATCCAGGGAGGAGCAGTGAATACTGAGGAGCAGTGAATACTGAGCACTACCTGGACCCCAAAAGTAGGTAAAGTAATGGCGTTTATGGCTATTATTATGGGTTTAGGGCTATTATTTTACATACTTTTGGGGTTTAGGTAGAACCTAAATCTTGATAGCTGAGCCCCAACTCTTGAACCCTGAATCTCAAACCTTAAAGCCCTGAATGTAGAAGGCCCCTCAGAGCCCGCAGGCCTCAGCCGCTTCATTGTGACGTCCGAGCTCGACCAGGGCTTTTGCTCTCCTGGTCGCGACGGCTCATCTGAAGCAGGGTAGGGAATGTCCATAGCAACCCTGTCCATCATACGCATGATCCTAAAGCTAAACCTTAAAACCTCGAACCTCTTACCTGAACACCTTCATCTGGGGATTCATCGCGAAACCACAGTGATGTTGAGTTCTGTTGGGAAATATCAGGATATGCTGAGAAGAAGTCGGAACACAGTGTGTGCGCAGACGAAATCTGCTCAGGGAAGTTCACAATGGAGCATCCCGTATTGGGTAGATATCCTTATAGGATAAGCGCAAGAGGGTGACGATCTTCCTCCGGGCTTCTGCTATGTTATGCCTGCCATATACACCCATTCCTTCAAGTCGGCGGGTTCACGATTTAACTGTTGCTTCGTCGGAAAGGAGGGAAAGGATCTTCAAAGCAGCCCCGGGCCCTTTTCGCCACCAATAAACCCTAAACCCATTCCCCCACCCTCTAGTGCCACCAGGGCCTGATAGCAGTGCTGAAGCGTTTGGAAATCTGAGATTTGAAGCCGTGGGCTTTCAGTCTCCGGGCTTTGCTGTAGTATAGGGCTTAAGGTAATGTAGAAGCCTGAATCATGACCAACATTATTACTGTGAGGTCTATTGGAGGTACCCTATAGCTGCCTATACCAGGAACCTAGGACAGTAGTATTGGCAATTATTCAGGCTTCTACATTCCTGCATGTTACGAGACACGAGTGTTTTCATGAAAAATAAACTGGTCGTAACTGGAGTGCATATCTTACTGGTAGGTATATACGATCCCCATAGAAACCCTATGAGCGTCTGGGGATCTGGGGCTCATGAAGGTTTAGGGGTTGGAGGTTAGGGTGCCATTAGAATAGGACCCTCATTATTTGTGATATCCATATCCACTCGTGAGGTCAGAAATCTAGGAATAGAGCGAGGATCTAAGAACATCATGGTCGTCCTCATAAGAGATTATGCAGGGATTATCTGGAATCCTTTCTGCATGGGGTTTAGGGTTTAGGGCATGTACCACATGAGGCGGTTCTCTGTCACTCGAAGCTTGACGAAGGGGCATCCACCACAGATTCTGCTTGGGAAGCTTGCACATGCAACCTGGGTGCGTCTGGATCACTAAGCTGTAGGTCTCTTGCCAGTGCAGGCTTCGAACGGAACAGCTCCTGCCAGAAACTCAAATGTGAAAACTCCGAGCCTCCAGGCCCCTCGTCCAGCCAGCCGCACCCAATTGTTAGTGCTGCTCCGCACCCGCTGGGATGTACCGTTGCTCAGCTAGGCCACGGCCCAGGTCTTTAACTTTCTGTCCGCTGCAAAAGCGACAAAAAACATGCAAGAGTTGAGGGTTTCGGGTTTTGGGGGTGCCCCGTCAGATCAGCAACACCGATAACTTCACCGGACAAGGAGGGCAGTTGCGTAGCAAGAAATATGGGGGTTTCCCAAAACTAGGGGTACCATTTTGGGGGTTCCCATAATAAGGACTATAGAATTTAGGGGTCTATATTGGGGTCCCCTTATTTTGGGAAACTACCGTTGTAACGATATCGAGCCTGGCAGCATCACCCACGCAGCCAGTAGCCACATGTACACCATGTAGGGGTTTCCATATATGTGATCCCCAACATTGACCCCGAGGGGTTAGGGGTTTAGGGTTTAGGGTGTAGGGTTTAGGGTTTAGGAATATACCATATCCCTTTCGATGGGGCTTCGGGGGCCCTACTTTTGAGAACTTCAAAATGGACAGGCCGTAAAGCTCTCGGGCGTAGGACATGCGGTCAGAGGCTACGATTGCGGGATGGGCTTGTTGGAGCTTCATGGAATCAGTTCAAGTGGGCCTAAACCCTAAACCCGAACCGCACATATAGCCCTGAGCTTCAAAGTAGACTAGAGGGCTGAAATAAACCCTAAACCCTAAACCCTAAATCACGTCATTCAGGCTTGCTTTGGGGGTTTGCCTTCCCTGGTGGCTTCAAGCTGATAGTTTGAAGCCTGAATGGCTAGCAATACTATTGAGCAATAGCACTATAGTAATAGTAAGAATAAGACTAACAGTAAGAGTAAGGGTAAGAGTAATGGTAACGGTAACAGTAACGGTAATGGTAATGGCAATGATATGCAAGAATAATAATGGTCATAGAAGCAATAATGAAAGTAGTAGTCGTACTGATGGTATTATCTCCGTAGAACATTGAGAACTCCGGATGGTGCGCGAGTTCGGAAGCTAACAAAGGGTTTAGTGTTTAGGGTCAGGGTGGTTGGCCTTCCCTATTCCTTCACTAACATTAAGCCCTAAACCCTAAACCCTAAACCTTGCATGCATTCTAGTTGTTCTTGCCTCAGTGTCTTGTGGACCCTAAACCTCAAACACCTCAGCAGAAGCTACATGTTCAACCCCTGGCCACCCTAATTCACAACAACCAGCCTAAACTCTTCTAGTCCCCCCTAAATAGATATTCTGCGGATAATGGAAAAGAAAATGGAAACTACTATAATGGGGTGTATAGGGTATAGAATATGGGGTATATGGGGATCTTATTAAAATATACCCAAAGCCATATTCTATCTACTTGAGGGCTTGAGGGGGACTATAGACCCTAAAGCCAGCAAGGCCTGTAGAGAGCTTTCGCGTGTGCAGGCTGGTCCTTGCTCTCTTCTGAATGTTGGTTTAGGGCTTTGGGTTTGGGATCGGGTATTTCGTAGTAGAGATTTACGATTCTGGGGTTTAGGCTTAAGCATTGAGCCTCTAGGGTTGGGAGCCTACTTGGGGGGTCAGGGGGACTGAATAAGTAGGTTAATGGGGATAATTGGGTAAGTATATGGGTTATAGGGGTTATTAACCTACTTACTAAGTCTCCCTGACCCTCCAAGTAGGGTTTAGATTAACATATTTACGCTGACGAATATTCCTGTGACTCACCCAAGGCATGTCGGCCAGCGGTTGCATCATGGCCCCCCCACTACCCCGATATGCTACACCCCCTAGGTTCCCCCGGATTTTTTAGGCGTAATTAACCCTAGCTATGTTTAAAGAACCTGGCCTAGTTAAGGGAAACTTTTGCCCGGGGATTGTCTATAGGAGTAGTAGGGAACCTATGAAACCGTAATGCCACTAATCCCCTGCCCCTAATATTAAACCTCCCCAACCCTCCAATATTATATACTCCCAATTTAGTATACTATGATATACCACAATGGAGAGTATTCAATATAAAGGGGGTGGGTTTAAACCTAGCACCTAAGCCTGCTAAACCCTAAACCCCCCAAAACCCTAAACCCAACCCCCCAAACCCTAAGCCCCAAACCAAAGACTGACACAGAATGTTCAAAGGGCTTAGGGTTCAGAGTACTTAGGGATGTAATGTAGGGCGTGCTGTTAGTTTTTTCTAGGCCGGGATCCGCAGCAACCTAAAAATATGGGTTTAGGGTTTAGAGTTTAGGGTTTAGGGTTTGGAGTTTAGGGTTTGGGGGTTTAGGGTATAGGGCGGGCACTATGAAAAGGAGGAAAAAGACCATACCTTTCTACAGACCTACTTGGAATTTGGCACAGCCCCCGTTAAAAGGACGATGCTCCGTACAGGGCCCTTCTTGGCATTCTGTGCTATTCCCTAAGGGTCCAAGGACCTAAATAATAGGTTTTTGGGCCCAAATACCATTCACGTAACAGTATGTGGGGCCTAAAGCCCTATTATTTGGGTCCTTGGACCCTTAGGGATTTCTAGGGAATACAACCCTCGTATACCCCTACAGTACATTACGGAAATATGTCTACGAACGAAGTTTGTAACCTGAGGGCTTAGGGTTTAGGCTTTAGGATACAGAGTTCCTATTGAGGCGGATGGCAAATCACGTCCGGCAAAGCAAGCAGAGAATTGCCAGACTGCCTTACTCGTGCTTGGTAGGGGATAAGAGAACACGATGGGCCCTGGACTAAACTTGTAGTATATCCATTAATGGTCACCCCCAAAACCATATATAGTCCCCTATAGGTCCCCCTCAACCAAAATTTAGTCTGTAGCTTATATAATCCGGGACTAAAGGGTTGCATTTCCTATCTGCTGCGCAAGCTCTGCAGAGCCTCGGCGACCTGTTGCCGTGGGTGGGACCAAGGCGTTATAAACTTAAACTCAACTTGTATTACGAAGTTCCCACGAATGACGAGATACTCCCCGTAACCCTATAAACCCTACTCCCTAGAATTACATTCCTACCCATCCGCAAAGGTACCTATAGGTCCCAAGGTATCCCAATATCTCCTGATTAAACCCTAAACCCAATAAGCTTGAGCTGGGTGACTCGAAGAATCGAATTCGCATCGGTCAGGGCGTCTGTCCTTGCAAGAGCCGGGAGGGAGTAGAAGGGTTAGGTTCTGGGTTTATAAGGTTTAGAAACCTATCATGGCAAACTGTAACTTAAGACCCAAATCAATTATGCAGACGATAGTAACAACTAAAGTGCCCAAAAACCTTTGGCCCCAGCATTCAGCACTGTCGAAAAGGCATGCTCCTCCAGGATTCGAGCGTTCAATCGCAAAGAGCTCTGCGAGGAAACCTCCTGCTCGATGGACAAGTCCGCCCTGAGCTTGCGCACCTGCTTCCCGAGCTCTCCCTCCTTTGCAGTCGCAGCGGAAGCCTGCTGCTGTTGAAGCCTGAACTCCGCTCCATGCAGCTTCAGGAGCTGGTCCCGCACCACAGCGGCCGACCCAATGGTCATCTGATGACCCCGAACCACTACGGTACTCATGGTATACGCCAACTTAGGACTCAAATGTGAGCACCATTATCCCTGACCCTGAACCTGCCAACTTTTCTCAATCAATTCTACACCCTTTACCCCTTTCCCTTGGACGCTGGACATCAAACCTCCCCTCCGCTAGCGCTAGAGAAGACCTATGCGCACCAGGAACCCCTAAACCCTAAACCCTAAACCCTAAACCCTAAATCTTGTGAGGGACCCTCTTTACAGGAGCCGTCCATGTCCTCCATGATCTACCTGGACTCCAAAAGTAGGTAAAATAATTGTCTTTTTGGCTATTATTATGGGTTTCGGGCTATTATTTTACATACTTTTGGGGTTTAGGTACTCATGACCCTTATGTACCCTCAGAGTCCCTAGGAACACTCCTAGCTTGCGACAAGTCGAGACAAGTCTCGACGCCAAAAAGCCTTAATTCCGACATCCTGAGCCCTAAGCCCTAATTTTTCAAGGTTTAGGGTTTAGGGTTTAGGGTTAGATTGGGTTTAGGGTTTAGGGTTTAGGGTTTAGGGTACCCCAACCCTGTAAACCCTAAATCCCACACGCTAACCCTGATCCAATCCTGAACCCTAATCCCTAAACCTTAAACCCTAATCCCTCAAGCCTATAGCTAAATACCACGTGTGTAGGGCAACAGTTAAAGCGGAACCCCGTGCAAAAGACACTCTTAAAATTCGCTCAAAACACGAGAGCTGAACCTTATACAGGATTTATTACGGTTTAGGTCACAACTCCTAAGCCCTGAGCTCTGAACATTCCTCCCTACAGCCTAAACCCGAAGCTCTAAATCATTCTTCCTCTACCCTTCCCAAAAACCATTTAAACTGAAAAATCTTAGTCCCTAAGCCCTAAACCCTAAACAAAGCCCTCACTCTAAATCGCAGGCAACCGGCCAGCGGCACTGCTTCAGATTTGCTTGGCAACGATTGGATAGCCTTTGCTCAACTTACTGGGGTTCAAGGCTTTGGGTTTAAGGTTTGGGGTTTAAGGTTCAGGGGTTAGGGTTTAAGGTTTAGGGTTTCGGGTTTAGGGTCTCAGGCTTAGGGTTTAGGGTTTAGGATCAAGGTTTATTTGTTGGCTCAGGTTTCATTTACTTACTGGTTCTTAAGGGAATATAGTCCCCACATCATCCCCATAATATATTCCCACATTCCCGACGGAGCCTATGAAGTTTAGTGTTCTGCTTTGTCGAAGTATTTTAGGAGAGTGAAGGATTGGATCCCAAGAATCATGACGC